AACCTACCGGGACGTTTTTAAATATTAATCTCTATATTATATAAAAATCAATTGCTATCCTGTTATCCAACTCAAAAACGGCTAGACCAATTTTGATGAATTTTTTTGTGTGTTTGATTGTTCCCTAGATGGTTTAGACTTTAGACTTCTATTTGGACCCGGTAAGTGGCGCTGTTTTTGATATCCAGAAATCACCCGTGCGAAGCCGGGGCGCATGGCTACTTTACAATATAATATGTACTACAATTAAATATCTTTAAATAACTTTTGCTTAATAAAACTTTTAAACTGTTTGACAGAGAGTTCCTGCATATTTTCTAGAACTTTGTTGTAATAGCTTCAGAGCTTCGAAAACAACATCCTCCAGATATAGTGATCTCTGCTATAATACGTTATATGCCTCCTCTACACGTCGACAGATGCATCAGCAGATGAATCAGCCTGAACCGTCCACACGTCTGTAGGTCGTTCAGTCTGTGTTACTTCATTATTTTCTACACAGTAGAGCCACGCTGTGGCTATTAATATGGTTGTATCATGAATGGGTCGGCTCGACCGGGGAAGGACCACGCGCTCACAGAATACCAGCATAAAATAGTAGCTTAAAGCTGCTATGTTTCGTATGGTAAGTGTGGAGAACCGAAGACGCGTTTTACTGAAATCGAGGCATTCCATCTTAGTCCTCAAGGCTGACAAAGCATCTGCGTTTTGATATAATCGAGGATAGATGTAGATGTCTATGGGCCACAGCATCCACTTACCATCAGGTGGACTGTGTGCTCGTTTTTCACCTTTATCCTGTAACAAAAAATTCTCGACAGGCGCAACTCGCAACGCAGCATTTAATAAATGTATGTTGAGACTGTAGCTGCCGCGGCTATTTATTTATCTAGAACTTTTAACTACTAGGTACATTAGTGTGCATCGCAGTAGAGTTATTAAAAAGAAATGGAACTCGTAACTCCGATAAAACTGCTGCGTTGCCAGACGTGTGGACTGATGCCGTGCGCCCCTGCTGAAACCCTTTGTTGCGTACCACAAAACCGACAACAAACGGATTGGTGGCAGACGCATCTGCCGACGTTCAATACCTAACACAGACGAGCAAATTCCCCCGCCTACAGGTTGGCGGACACATCCGCTGATAACAGCTGCTGACGCATCTAGCTGAGCGCTTGTAGAGTCGAGGTGTTGGTCAATGAATGGCATCCACGACTTTTTCTGTCACTAAGGCGAAGCCAATATAGATGAAGTGAAATATTCCACAGATTTCATAGCAGGGGAAGTTAATTTCTTAGGAAAGTGCTGAGATGAGATAAATATTTATTTTTGAAATATTACTTAAATTTTATATTAATTATAAACCGATCTACGGATATACCTAAAAGTGGAAAAATTTAAAAAGAAGTAAAAAGCGCAAATAATTAAAGGGCAAACAACTGAGGCATTTTTTTGTATATTAATATAATAACTAGAAACTGATAAACATTTATTTAAAACTAATTTCTCAATTGAATGGCATTATGTTTTTTTTTATAGAATAATAGTGACAAACGATGATTTTTTTATAACAAACGACAGTGACAAACGAGCACACAGTCCACCTGATGATAAGTGTTTGCTGTAGCCCATAGACATCTACATCTATCCTCGATTACGAATAAAAACACAGATGCGTTATCAACCCTGAGGACTAAGATGGAATACCTCGTTTCCAGTAAAAAAGGGTCTCCGGATCTCACCATACGAAAGACAGCTATAAGTATTATAAGTAGTATTTTAAGCTGCTATTTTACGCTGGTATTCTGTGGGGGCGTGGTCTTTCCCCGGTCGAGCTGATTCATGCTACAACCATAGTATAGCTGCAGCGTAGCTTTACCATGTATGAAAACGATATCTGGTGAGCGGTAGATTATTAGCCCTAATTGACACTGGAGAGAGGTGGATTATTTCTTATTCTGTAATTCTCCCATGAATGACCTTTACCCAGCAATAAAACGTTATAAGCTAAAACTACATAAAAAAATTATTATTATACATATTTCTAAAGACAAAGATAATGACAATCTCGTTTCATATCTATATAATTAAACAAAAGTTGTTGTTACCTTGAATTTTTTATTAATTTTTCTCAATAATTTAACTTACACTTAAATTAAAAACAAGGAAGACGAACCGCGAACAAACATTAACATTCATTATATTTACATACATTACATGTTATACCTGTTATGCCAATTTCCAACAAGTATCGCATACGAATGATAAAACTTTCTACACAAATACTCGTTTGTCAGTCATATTTTGCTCGATATTAATAACATATTTGTACAATTTCAATGCCTACTTTTGTCTATGAAGTAAATAAAAAAATAACAAGGTTCAAGGATACACTTGTACAACATACTTTTGAAATATTTGCAGACTAAATGCGATTATATGGCTTTCAATCTTCTTACATAACATACAATCATTATTTTTCTACAACCGTCAAACAAAACATAATAATGAACATGACTTGGTCTCCGTTCTAGATTGGAAGACTGAACGTATACAACAAACTACGAAAAGTATGGCAAGTAAATAATTAAAATTTATAAAATAATTTTAACTAAGCGTTTCGTATGATCTTTTTACAAATAATATTTACAAGATATAACAGAAACAATACGCATATATATATATATATATATATATATATATATATATATATAATACCAAGTTCTATGCTACGGTATTTACAATATTTGCATTATTGATCGGCTTGTTCAGCTTTCACGCCATATAGGAACAAATATAACAAATACTACTTCACATTTTAAAAAAAAGGTGAGAAAACCCAACTGTAGAAACTGAATGCGTAATGTGCAGAGAAGTGGAGCGTTGAGTGTGCATTTTTTTATAAAACTGATATGTCAAACGATACTTATAGTCTACCTGAATGCAAGCCGCTGCTGAAGTCCATGCTGTAATTAACTTCAAATAAACAAAACTACAGATGCGTTGTCACGTCTGAGGACAAAGATGGAATAGCCTGTAATTATATTAGGTTTCTACCATCGATCACTAATAAAAACTAGATACACAATCAGTGACAAAAAACGACCTCACCGAATGAGCACCCATTCGAACATTTGGGTGCGCTTTTAATCTAGTTACATTCGAACACACCGACGGTAAGTGAAACGTAATTATAAGACGTAGTGCTCGTTTAAAAAATGTAAAAATCACACATCCAGGACGCTAAAAAAAGGATGGAATTTCCTAATTTCGGTACGTATTAATATTATCATTATTTAATTATTATCAGTGTATTGTAAATACTTATATTTTGTCAAGAAATCTTCGTAAAACATTTTTAAAATTAAGTCTTAATAAAATAAGTCATAATTGTTCGTTGACTCTGTTCCATTTGTTGGAGACCGTTATTATTTTTTTATTATTAAAGTATGTTCTTTATTAATGATCGATCGCCCTTTAGGAACAAACAGTTCGAGCATTGTTATTTGGCGGCAGGTAAAAATCCTACCCTGTCCTATGCTGTCCTAGGCTGCTAGGACGGAAGGCAGAAGGTGGTAAAACTTCTACTACTTCTTGTTTACCACCTAGTAGGACGTCAAATAATAAACGCTCTTGAAATTAGTGTCCAAAGTAGTTTGTGGTTTTACTCGACTTAGGCTCAGTCATATTTATTCCGGCATTTTACTTTCTATAGTATTTAATACGGGAGAAGAACTACTAAATATAATAAATGTATTTTTGCAAATGTTTTAAGAGCATTTGTTTACATAACCCTTGATTTAATTGTAACACATCGTCGCTACGCCTACTAAACCCGACAAACATTTGTTTGATGAAAACCAGTTATTTGTATCATATTAGTATATACAAAAACCTATTTTGTATTATTTGAACTGGTTAACTGGTTTAATACTGTGTATTAAAAATAGCGAAAAATGATATACCTATTTAGTGTCTAGTTTAATTGCTTAATAAAACTGAACGAAGCGAAATGTTGTTTCTACGGAAAAGTTAAATTTTAAGCTATTGCATAGCTTCTATCGCGGGCCTTGAGCGCGGGGACCGAATCCAGAAATTCCGTAACGAAAAAAAACCTCACGCTCCCCACTCCGACGGGCACGGAGGTGTGGCGTTGAAAGCCGTGCATCGTCTGACGTCGTTTCAGTTCGGCAGACTTCGGCACTCGGCAGACTTCGGCTCGGTGTTTGTGTGCGTGCGACTAGACGTATGCGTGTACACTAGCTGCTACTCAATGATAAAAATTCCTGAATAACCTACATGTATTGTAAGATATTAAAAATATTTTAAACAATATTACCTTCTCATTTATTCAATAAGAGAAAAAAAATTGTTTTCTTATCGGTCTCAAAAAGTGTAACTTGATTTAATATCAAAGACTTAACTGCATAAATAAAATAAATAAATAATTATAATTGCATAAGTTGATAAAAAATGCTATGCAATAGCTTTACCGCGGCAGTCACCGAGTGCCACACGTATTTTTTTGTTTGTCGAATTTTGCAGGCGCATCTATGCATGTTTCTCAACAAGCAATGAAATTTTGTCAATATAAAATATTGAAAATTAGTAAATTCGTAAAGATGTACGTGTTCTACGCTCTTATTAAACATACCTTAATTTATTACAGAGCGTGTATTATTATTATTAACACTGGTACAACACGATCCCGTTTTAAATAAACTAATATTAGTTAATAATCTATGATCATTATTTTAATAACGTTTACAGTAATCCGTGTTTACAATGTTTTTCATACACGTAATAATTATTTTGTACTAAACAGGTAATGAGCAATACATTTGCAGTCCATGCAAGTTTTAGCGTCTTTTGTGAATACTTGTTGACACTATATTTAAAAAATAACACACAGCAGATAATGTACGATTTAAGTACACCGTGTTTTCGATCACATTGCACTGGTATTCTTTGTGATTTGACAAAAAAAAATTGTGATTCGTTCAGTCTTTTTCACCAACGAACCTGTAAGTGTCCAACTCTGGCTCAGGCATGCAATACCCGTGATATGTGCGTATGTCCTCAGCGGCGTACGTGACCCCGGGTAGTACTCCCGGTTCCGTGTGATGCCTTGGACACGTGTGGTCCCTGGGACACTGGCAAATTGTGCTGGCGTTCACTTCGTCTATCTGCTCGTGCCGTCGCCTCACGCTAAACAACTTGCACGGCTCCTTCCTCGAGCATCTTAACCTCTGTAATAAAGAAAATTGAATTTATGAAAATAATGGAGATAAATTAAGTATATTTAAATAATTTTCAATAAAATAATCTGGTGAATGATTACTACACAAGTTCAATAAAATAAAGTGGTACTACAGATTATATTACGATAATACGCTAAAATTAAGCATTAAAATATTATAATATACCTAGCGCCACACCTCGATAACTTTCAGAACTACAACAAAATGAAACTTACACTTTGAGGTGAGCAAGCAAACTGGTATTGGTTGCCCAGTTCTCCGCTAGGTGTCGTGTATGACAGTTTCTTGAGCAAATACGTCATTGAGGCTTTTGGACAATGACAATTGACTATCTGTTGTGTTGCGTTCGTATCCGGGAAAGAATAAATCGTCCAGGCAGCATCTTTGAAGTATCGGCATTTGGGTAATCGCTTTATCGGCTCGCACGTTTTGTAAAGCGTCGTTTTATCGGCTAACGTATGGTTGTCATCCGCTGACAAGTCACTGAAAATTAAAGAAATAAAAAAATTAATAAATATGTACTTTTTGTATTCTATATTTTTTGTACTGTTTTGTATCGAAATATAATATAGTAAGTACTTTTTGTATTGTAACGCAATATAAATAATTTATATATCGAAGTTAATTATCAGTTATTAATAATTTTCATGTTTTTGGAAATATGTTACCATCGTATTGATCTTTATTACAAGAGATTATTTTTTATTCAACATATGTATTTCAAAGTTAAAAACTAAACGAAGGGAAAAACTCTGCTTTAGTAAGAACCAGAAAGGAAGCTAGCGGTACTTTTTAAAATAATGATTTATAAGAATTTATAATGTGGTACAATTTACAAATTAGAAGCAGCATATTGATCACCTCATTCCCATAGGTTAATAGCAGCCCGGTTTACTTTAATATTATAATAAATCTTTTTATACACTTTTGGTTTAATTTAAATTTAAATTTTTTATAAATAGACCCTGCATATTTTCAGCGACATTGTCTCGACTCCTTAAAGTCGATTAACTGTTATTACTTACTTTTGCTTGTGTCTAGTGTTTACAGAAAATATATCACTATTTTTAATAAAAATATTTATCAAATAAAAAGATAATATTAAAAAAATAAAAAATAAAAATACACATATTACTAATAGATATTATATATTATAAAAGGTTGTCATAAATATCATCCTCACCTAGAACACGGCTTATGCCCCAAGCATCGACATTTTCTTTCGATCCAAGGTTGCGTTGTGTCGTAAAGATCCACTTTGCTACACACCTGTCTCGCCCTGCAGTCCGGAAGATCCTCCTCGGATCCCTGTAATTAGTTCCATGTTTTTTATAACGCAACCTAAATCAAACAGATATGTGTTTTATTTTAAAAATAAGATATACAAATAAGGCTGCAGTCCACCTGAAGTTAAGTAAATTCTGTGACCCATTATGAACACCTTCGTTTATCCCCGGTTAAGAATCAAAATGCAGGTGTTATGTTAATGTATTTAATATTTAGTGGACCTAACTGCCTCGTTAGTTTTTTTGTCGTAAACGCGATAGCTAATCATGAGGTCTCGTGTTAGAATCCCGGGTCGGACCAAAATCAGTTATTAGGTTTTCCTTTCAAGAAATTCTCTGTTGCAACATCTCTCTCTGGTGGTGTCGAACTACCGTCCCATCGGACTATGAGAGTGAGGAATTAGAGAGAGCTCCTGTGCTTGCGCATACACTTGGGCAGTATAATCCTCTTCTGCGCATATGGCTAGTCTCGGTTGAAACTGCCGTCGTGACTTCGGTCTAGAGGTTCCAGTTCTCCATTAAAATTGCGGTATTCATAAACCACTTCCAACACGAGCGTTTTATGCTTACTTACTTCAACGGAAATGTTTATAATGCCTATAGCGTTACGAGTGTTTTTATTGTTATTTAATAGCCTATAAATTTCCCAATACTGTAAACCTCCGTCACTTGCTCTCATTAGAGTGGGAAAAGTCCGTTACACTACTCCCGTATTTGTTTACGAACTTCAAGCGTTAGAAAATATGAATAGTCTCGGCGGCCAGTCTCAATGAAGATTAGACATCTGCGAAAACAGAGTTATAGTGCACGCAAGCACAGATGTGCTCTCTATTCTATCACTCTTACAGTTCGATGCACGACCGGAGAGAAATCGAGCACAAAATCAACGACTTTACGTATTTTGAAAGACACAGGGTGAATCGCCAACTTTTTGAGAGGTTACTACTGAGAATTTTTTGATAGAAGATCTCAATAACTGATTTTGGCAGTAGTTGTGCTTTCGGCCACGCGACTAAAGAGGCAGTCATAGTTTGTGATAATCAGTACAAAATGGCAGCTAACTATTTTAGTAGCGCCGGCAGATATCGAAAAAAGAAACGAAACACGTTGTTCACATACATAGTTTACGATTAATGCCTTGTCCCAGAGCTACTAGGTTAAATCATATTTCGTACATAATAAACATAACGCGAATCTCCATAACCTTGCCTTTCATTTAAAATCGATTTGATACAACAATTGATTCACCTCGCAGCAATGTATGCACATTGAGCGATTCCGATTCGGAAATTTTTATATTTAAGGCATTCGTTACACGATACAAATCCTAAAGGTCAAACATTAGGCAAAATGCGTGGGAAATAAAAAAAACTACTTTCTTCCGTCACCTTCGTACAAGAAAACTATAGAAGAAATCATTACAACAAACGACTTCCGAAGGACGTTAATCATAATGGTTCAAATGCGGATAGTATAATACAAGAACATGTGCGTTCGGAGCTTCAGAGTTCACTCAATAGGTTTTTTTTAAAGCAACAGGCCATCAGTTGTACTTCCGACCGGAAGACATGCCATTTGGCAACCTGCTAGCTGTGGGAATATTTTTTCTGCAACATTCTTTCCTAAGGGTTACTTACAACACGACCAACAGATGTTTTGTTTTTGAATCAATGTTTACCAATCTGATGTTTAATATTTATGGTTGTATAAAACCATCCGAGCCGTGGTAGCTCAGATGGTTAGCGCTCGCTGTAAATATCACAGTATGCGAGCAACCCGGTTCGATACCCGCCGGCACCATTGTTATACATTCTTAAGTGCTGATTTACCACGTGCTCGGCGGGTGAAGGAAAACATCGTGATGAAACCTGCATGTCTGAGAAATAAGAATAAAAATATATATTTGGAAGACATGTGAAGTTCGCCAACACGCATTGGGGCAGCGCGGCGGACACTTCCTTGTCCTAAAACCTTCTCAGAAATGAGGGGAGACCTGTGCCCAGCAGTGGGACGTATATAGGCTGTAACTTTAATAACTTTTATAAAAGTTAGTGAGTGCCTGTACTGTTTTGTTTCGGTCTGAAGAGTATAGAAAGTCTGTAATAATAGGTTGTGAAGCATTCCATCTTCTTCCTTAGTGACGACAATACATCTGTATTTTTTTGAAGTTGACTGCAGTTGGCAATAAGATGCACAAGCCACTTCAGATGAAATCTAAGTTCATTGTTAATCGAATTATTTTAGGTAACTTTTCTAAAATTCTTCAACCAAAATCCTATTAAAAGCCGTATGCCATTTAATTTGAACAACCCTATTAAATACTGGCGCAAAAGGCAACGTATTTTTTTCTTTGTTCCGGATACACTTCCCGTCTCTTCTGTGATGAGACAGATTTCGCGGAAACCATCTCGAACGTATCTCCCAACGGACGGATATGGCCCTTTTGTGAAGTAAACAAATAGTCCGACATAGGAACTACCGCTAAAAGTAGGGTGATTGACACACTTTATAAAGTTACGTAGTAGGTACTATTAAAAGCTTGAAAGCTAATGCAACATTAACGAAATTTTCTTAATTACAATACTTTTGTTGTCTTGTGGTGTAACAACTTACCGACGACAGTTTGTAGATTTTTTCAGTCTCATATAAATACATGACGTCAAATATGATAGTTTTGTGTAATAATTTATATGATTATTGAAAACCTGTTTGATATAGTCTTAGTGTATAATAGCAAAAGTACAAATGGGCTGAGTAAAAAAGCAACATTTTTTATAAATAAGGATCACAAACGATGTGCGCTCGTCCACCCGAAAGGTAAGTTATCTTCCCTGAGGGTTAAGATGGAATGCCTGTTCCAGTAAAAAGTTTCTCTGCTCTATACCCACCATACGAAACACAGCAGCATTTAGCTGCTATTTTACGCTGATAATCTGTGAGAGAGTAGTCCTACCCCGGTCGAGCCTACCCATTTTGTACTACAACTATAATATACCATAATATAGTATAAAAGCAAATACTAAAACACGACAATGCTGTGTTTCGTACGAGCGACGGGAAATTTTTGAACCCAGCACTTACTATCGAGTGACTGTGTGCCCCAAATGTGCCCCTTTGGCAACCTATAATGAAAAGTATGCCTAAATTTACTTTTCGTTTCGTGATAATGTGCTGATTTTCGTATTGCTTGCCCACGGGTGAAAAGGATGTCATTTTTGGAGGGTCCCTGATTGCGTGTGTAGCCGACGGCGATATTATAAAAGGACCTCATGTTCATCCTTTTCAGAAATAAAAAAGGCCGCAAGCACAGTTTTCAGTATAGTGCAAGTGAGACGGGGGTATGTGGATGTTGGTGAGTGGGGAGAGCGGATCGGGCACGGCATCCGGTGCGTCGGACAGGTGGCGGCGCGCGTTCGTCGCCGCGCCCACTAATGAAATAATTTGTTATTCGTGCCTCGGTGACCTTACACAACCTTCTCAAAGCAGCCCATTGATATCCCACGCGAGCTAAGGACTAAAGTCAATATGAAGTTACGAAAAAGGGATAATAACGATGACTCTGAAAGAAATTATGGCATTTGATCCTATTACTTTTGCTTCAATAAAATATTATTTTTTAAGATATTAAAAACTCTAAGAATACATTGATCAGAGTAACATACTTAAGTAAAGATTTCCTTTGAACACAATCTACTTAACTTAATGAAGCCTAAACAACTATAGGTTATTTTGCGTAACTGCAAACAGGTTTTCTATACAACGCAGTCGACCTTTCAGCCGTTCACATCTATAGAAAGAAGTAAATAAAAAAATGTCAAGTGCCCGCTATAGTTGTACATTTAATGTTACGACGTTCGTTATTTTGTGCTGTCGTAATATTATATTATTCAAATGATAAATCTTAAAAAAAGTTTTTTGTATTACTCTCCTTATATAACACCTAAGTGATAAAATCCAATTTCGACCTAAAGCCTCTGTTTAGGTAACTCATTGTAGTGTATATATCTATGTTAATTGTGCCCAATTTCCATCATCTAAAGACGTCATATTAGTCTGAATAGGTCTGCTGTTTTCGCCACGAGACACTAAAAGAATTTGTGTCTAATTATTTTTATTTATTCACTTCCGTTGAATTCGAGACATAAAATAATGAACTGTAAATAATTTTAAATTAAGAATAAAGCAAAAAAAAAAACGCTACGTTAGTAAGAAATAAGTTAACTTTGACAAAAGTCTTATGTTTCAAAACCATTCCGTCTGACCACTGTGGTATCCGATTCCCGTTGATTTCCTGCCAACTGCTGAACACAAAAATGCTCTAATGTATCAAATTGTTTGTTTAAAACAAATTGCACAAGTTTGTGTACTGCACATTTAACAAAATAAGCAAGAATTTGCAGAATTCACGCCTACCTTTGGAAAAATTATTTTAATCCTTTTTTATTTCCATTTTGAATGAACACTACTTTCTGTTTTCAAATTTTAATAAAAATATTTGCCACTTACGTAAGAACGTAAGATCCGCATGTAACTGGATAACGGAAAAAACATTATTTTATTTTGTAACGTGGATCTTAGCTGATTAATCTTTAACATCTTTAAAATATTTTTTTATGCTTTTGGGGTGAGAAATAAATCAATAGTCAAATGCAGTTCTATTTTCAATTTTAAGCAGTTTTTCTTAGTTGTTTATATTTTAAAAATAGCATCAATTCTAGTATACAAAAATGCACTTCAACTAAATAAAACCAGATATGTTTGAGCTAATTGTTGGTTACGACCTTTTTAAACCTATGTTGCTACAATGTGTACCATTAACTATATAATTTACGATTTATAATTTACTTACGACATCCACGTGGTGATATGGTATGGTATGGTGATATGGTACTGGATTATGTAAGTAATTACTATTGAGTGTTTTGCCACATTTTACTAAAACTTGCTTATTTAAAAAAATCACATAATTTTTTGTTCTCAACATAAATCATACAATTCTTTTTCTCAATATATGATTTTTTT